TTTAATAAATTTACAGACATTTCTAAAATTCTGTTTTCACCTTGTCATTATGGGGTACTGAGTGTAGATTAATGAGAAAAAAAGTGAATTTGAACGATTGTAGTATCAGACTGCAACATAACAAAATTGAAAAAAGTGAAGAGGATCTGAATACTTTCTGAATGCCCTGTATATATATGGGGGGGGGAGACAAGCCTTATAAGATAATATTTGAAATTGCATTATCAAATTCTTATATGTGGTGAATAAGGCTGTGCTGCATTATTCATAAATGACAGAGCATGTTTCTTCAGCACATGGAGGTGTTACTTTAAAAGAAATTAATCTTTATTTCAAAATAACTGCAGACTAATTTTTCTATTCTTTTTAATAGGTTAAGTGGCAAAGAGCACAGTGTTGTAACAGGTGTTGCAATTGCTCACTGCAGTAGTAAAGGTAATATAAAATATCTGTCAGATCAATTTTCATTAGTTCTGTAGTTGTCCACTCTTTAATATCACTCTGCGTCTAGAGATTTCAGGAATTTAGCTTATCTCTATTCATGTTGAAGTATATTTTACTTTTCAAAATTTAATCTTTGCTTGTTGAACTTATATTCTGCCTTTCTTCCAGAAGCTCAAGGTAGTTTAGAGAGACTTTAATTCTCATTTTTAAAAATGATGCATTGCAAGCACCCCAAACCAACAGTTTCATGAGTTTTGCTCAATGGCATTACAAGGAGCCCTTGACATTCTCTGTAAAAGCCAAGAGGAAAGACCAGCTGATCTATCCATCTTCCTGGGGTCTGTTAGACACTTCAATCCTAGTGTTTTAAGTGAGGAAGAAAACATATCCATGTTCTACATGCCATTCATGATGTTATACCCCTCTCTCAGAAGACATAGGGAGCGTACATTCCCTAGTCATCTTTTTTCATAGATAAAAAATCCTAAATATTCAACCTTATAAGGAAGTATTCTATTCCCCTGATAATTTTGAATATCTTCATGTGCCCCTTTTGCAGCTCTGTTACATCCTTTTCTAAATGTGGTAACCAGAACTATGCACAAGTATTCCAGATGCAGACATACCATGGATTGCTTTAACAATATTGCAGTGCTGACAGTTTTATTTTTAGTCCCTTTCCTAATAATGCTTAGCATGGAATCTGCTTTTTTTTTTTTTACAGATAGCGTCTAGAGCAGAATTTCTTAACTGTGGCAACTTGAAGATGTGTGGACTTCAACTTCCAGCATTCTGGGAGTTGAAGCCCACACATCTTTAAGCTGCCACAGTTGAGAAATATTGGTCTAGAGCTTAAAGATTAAGGTAGCATACCAGTAAATAAATCAGTCCATAATGAGATATCCACTCTGATGCAGTGATATTTTCCCTAGTTAATTAAACTCAACTCAGACCTCATCAGTGTGTGTGAAGCTAGAGCTTGTACCCCAGTGTGTATCACTTTATACTTAATGTGAACTGCATTTTCCCTTTGGCTGATATTTATGTGACTTAAAAAGAACACAGAATTTATTATTCTGAATTTCTTGTAGGATAGAATCTGCCTATTTTAAATTTCCAGGAGTCTTTTGAATTCAGATTGTATACTTGAGAAGTATTTTAGACGTGTGTCTAGAAATTGCCTTGTTCTAAGAGAATTGGGTATTACATACTTTCCAGATCCTTTATGCCAAGTAAGGCATTACGAACTTACTGATTTTGGCTTAATCTGATAATTTCTGTATTGATTTTACTTACAAGTTTCAGCATTCAGAACATTGCTAGTTACTGTGTGTTTAGATTTCCAGATAATTACAGACATTTGGGAAAGGTGGATGACTTTTGAATGCTTGTTAAGGAAGTGACTCTTGCAAACAGCAATAAAACAAACCTTGGATATTATTGGCTAATGAGTGCTGTCTATTAGAATAACATAGATTCCTATAAAATAGTCCTGTGCAAATCTATTTAAAAATGCATTTCATTGAGTGCAGCGAGACATCTAGGGAAATGTGTGTAAGTATATACCTTGAATATTTGATAAATTATGGGGATAAACTCTAAATCTTAAAACAGCTCTTTACAGCCTACTTAAATATCACTTAACCTAAGATACACGCCTAAATTGATTTAAATGAACAAATTGCCTTTGAAAAACTTAACTTGCATTTTCTATTCAAAATTATGCATGCTGTTTCTGAGATGAATACTGGTTAATCACTAAATGATACTATTGCCATACTAAAGATACACATTTTTTGCAACATTTCTGTATTACAGTAATTCAGTTTATTATGCTTTGCTGCTGCCTTTAGAATTATAACAGTTCTGAGCTGCTGATAATGATAGAATATTATTAACTGGAAAAGCCAGAGAAATTATGAAATTGGTTCCAGTATATGTGTGAAGAGAGAGTCATTGTGAACTAGGGAATCC